TTGATTAATGCTGAATTCAATGTTCTCTCACCACTGTATGTCTGCTGATAGGTCCATGTTTGGCCAGATTAAAACAATGTGCAGCTGCTCATCAGCCGAGGTGGCTCCACTTCTCTGCAGAAACGGAGATTCAGGTCAATGACTTCAGAACTAAAATGGGAACGTCAATTAGCCTGAAAGCCACCTACATGGCAAAGTTCAGTCTGAGTCCAGAAGGAGTGAAGTCTAGAGGAGCGGTACCCTCTAGCTTGTTACTGAGATGGAACCAGAGATATATGAGAGAAGAGGAGCAGCACGACCAGCAGCAGCCAGAGCATGCAGAGGAACCGAAGGATCCAGAAGGAAAAATCCAAGCCGTTGTCAGAAGACAGGTCCAAGGTCAACAACAGGTGGAATCCAGGTAACAGTCTGGAAAACAGGACAGTCAAACAGACCAGAACACGGGCGGCCAAAACTCAGAAGTCTAGGGGGCAGAAGAGGTCAGGAACAGCAGAACTAGGCACAACATGGAAGGCTAGAAATAGTCTTGCTTGAAGCTCAAATAATCTGGCACCAATGGCTGGGAAGTGTGGCCTAGTGGTTAGGGCATTGCGCTTGGAATCCAAAGGTATTGAGTTCAAGCTCCTCTCAGAAAAAAAGCACATAAGAGAAAATAAGATTTAAACACAGCCTAAGGTGCCAAGATTATGACATCCTGTACTTGTAATGTTAGATCTAGATAAAGATGCTGATTTCAGCTCCTGAAATCATGAAGGGCTCAAACATGAGCCCTTCATGATTTTAATGTCATGTTTGAGCCCCTTGAGATGACATGTGTTGTGAATTGGCGCTATAAAAAATAAACTGAATTGAATTGAAGCTGGAAATTCAAATGATTAGAACCAATCATTGTATGGGCTTTTTGCTTTCTGGATTCCTCTGAAATTAATGATTATTCTATTTTGTGTAGGTTTATCCTATCGCCACTATGAATACCTTTAAAATGCATTTTAGTTCATTACTGTAACATTATTAAAAATGTGTTTATATCTCAACAAAACATAATGAGTGAAGCAGCAGCAATTGCTTAAAACTAAAGACTTTTAGGAAAATCTTTATTTAAGAACAAGTTGTGACCCAAAATTCACTCAGGCTCAACGTTTTACATTTAACGCCTTGAGTTTAGTGCCAAAGATTTAGTTGGCAGGCAGCATGGAAAGCAGTGCAAGTTAGCAACAGTGTGAACCATTACAATGCTATAATCCTGCTTACACATGTAGGCGACAGTAAAAATAAAATACTGTGAAAGTATTCCAGTCCTACCTTAGGTTTATTGCCAGAAACACAAATTATGCCTTTTTGATTTACTTTAACTATTTAAATAAAAAGGTGTTTCAGATTTGTGTAATTCCACAATTGATGGGAACTAGTAATCAAATGCAACAGCACCTTTTCTATGTTCTCAAATGAAGTCACAAACATTCAAGGAAAAAAAAGTTAATGGGTTAAAAGCAAGGTTGTTGGATACTCAGTGAATTGATGCGCAATATGACTATCGAGCAATGAATGGTATCAATCATAAGCTGTTTTTTTGACAGCAACTGTGACTTTTAAGTCACTCTCCCTTTTTTTCGCCTTCCTTAATGACCGACACCCTGTGTAATGGGGTGCAGGTAAGTTTGTATTGTTTTCTTGACCACTGTCTCACCCTACTGGTATCATGATGCAACTAGGGGTAGAGGCGGACACTGAAAGGTTTCACTTTTAAAAAGGGTATCTACAGATTCTTCTATTCTTCTAATTTTCTTGTACAGCCATATAAGTAAATTTTGCATTGTGAATATTCAAACCTGGATAACACTGGTGTGAAGATTTAAAGTTAGAAAAAATATAATACAATTACACAGCATTTACGTGTGTGTGTAGAATAGAATAGAAAATATACTTGGGTATATAGCATACACCCACTTATTTCTCAATCAGCATTGCGTACACCAATGCTGATTGATCCCACTATTAATCAGAATTTCTAAGTGATATTTTCCATTTTTTCCTAGGACATTGAAGCCATCACCTGATCTACTCTGCCTCTAATTGGCTGGTACTCACTACCTTTACTGATTACATTGGTTAACTTTAGGCATGATGACCAGTAAGCCAATCTGAGGCAGACAAGGGTGGGTCAAGCAGAGGTTAGCATTGGGCATATAATAAATAACATTAAGAAGTTTACTTTAAATTATTTGCCTTTAGGATTTGCAAAGAATCGGTAATATGAACAAACTAGTCAAACAACACGTTCATTTCCTAATTACAAATGTCCACTTAAATTAACATAAGCCAGCAGTTTGGCTAATGTTACCCCGTTACAGTTAAGCCTAACGTCGATGCCCGCTCTGCCCCCATCCCCGTAGGACAAGATGCTGTCAGTGAAGAGGAAGATGCCTCTTTGGATGAAGAAGTCGACAACACTAGGTGGGCGTGGGCCATTTTTATTGTTGGACCTTGTAAGTGATAACCTATTAGGGCACAACAGTAATGAGTTAGGAGGAGAAATCACTGTTCGTAAATGCATTTTAAATATTAAGTTACATATTGCTTTATTGATTAATTTCAATTATGAATTCCAATAATCATATGATATATATATATATATATATATAT